AGTATTTCTGAACAAATATATCAATTATAATTCAATAAAACTTTCAAAAATAGCGGTAATTTTCCAAGTCAATCACAGGGATGTAACATAATATCTAGTAATTATTCAGAATTTTTCTCAATGAATACGATTTTCTATGAATTTTATATTAGGAAATGAAAAGGAAATATATTTAAAATTCACGAAAAAGGGAAATAAGGGTGCGGATGTCAGGATGACATCAGCGCCTGGCGAACAGGAATTTGGTAGAAATAGAGTTCCGCCTGGTGATTCTTATGTAAGCGATTATAGACGATTTAATTAATCAAACTAAGATCTAGAAAAGCCAGAAGAATCGTAATTGAACAGAGTATATTTTGGTAAATTAAAAACACAAAAATTATCACTAAATGAAACGTAAAGTAAGTTGAAAGTAGGAAACCAGAGTTCTGGCATCGCGACGACGATGCATTGACGATGCACCGGAATCCTAGGCATTCGAGAGGATGGTCGTGTAGTGTCCACGGCCTCGAAGGCTCTCCTTGGACAAAGACGACGTGGGCAATCTCTAAATCTCCTTGCGAAGTCTAGAGATCAATGAAGTGGGTCGTCAAATCATTTCCGACGGCTGTCACCTAGCGAAGCGGAAAAACGGCGACTTTGCGGCTCTTTGGCGACTATCACTCGACGGAGAGGAGCTAGATGGAGGTGGGGCGCATGTCAGGGAGCTTCATCCTCAAGTCCGCGCAGCAAGAGGAGGCTCTTCATCGCATCTGGTACGCTCTCAAGAGGTGGCGACTCGTCTCTCGGCGGATTGTCCACTTCTTGACGACGGCTTGTTTGTCGATCAATCAGAGATGATTTACTCGATGGATTTGCGATCTTTTTATCGCGAATCCTTCAATAATTTTAGTAACAATGCTCCGCGAATCGCGTTGATGAGATTTTCACCGATGATCCAGCGATTCTGGTTGCTTAATCCTTCACCGGCGATCTGCAGGAAAGTTATGATAATCAGATAAAAATATGAGTTTTGGCTCTAGGAGGATTCGAACCCACACCGGTTGCCCCTACCTCTTCTGAGGAAGGTGTGACGTAGGTTTAGTCCCACATCGGTTGTGCACTGATTTTTCAGGCAAATATATACTAATGTTAGATTTCTAAGCAAAGTCCCTTCTCTCACGTGTACGACCACTCCTTGCCCCACAGCCGGCTGGCCACTAGTGACGTGGAAGGGGAGTGGCGCACACGTGCCCCTACCGAGCCCCCTGCTCGCGGCTACTCCCCGACTAAGCTTCCGACCCGCTTGCGGGCCCGGCTGGCTGGCGGGTTCCCCTCATTTTGTCTTATTTTTATTTTTTATTTCTTTGTCTTCATTTATCTCAAAAGAAAGACTGTTAAAATCACATAAATAAATTCATGTAAAATCACATAATTACCAAAAAATTCACATTAATCAACTGAAAGCCAATTTTCACACTTTAACATCAATATAAGTCTATTTCTCATGAGTTAAGGCTAAAACTATATTATTTACTAATTATTAACTCATGATAAGGAAGACTTATCAATTATCATTTTTCTTGATAAATTTTCACTGGATTGTTACAATGACATCAATGCATAAATACGATTTTTGCATCTAAACCAATGGTTCGGTATATCTCTTTCCTCTCTTTTCTTCTTTTTATTTAGAGTATTTAGTTTCATTAACCCTCTACAAAATGGAGATTAGTAAAAAAAATTAGTAATAGACTGATGATTTAAGATTGAAATAGGTTGTTTTGTAGATAGTATTGAAGTAAACTGCAGGAGTAATATAGATCATGCTTGTGGCATAGAGCTGACAGAAAAAGGAAAATGGGAGAATACCCAACACCAACATATCAACTGATCAATACCTGATTTCTATTCCTCTAGATATGAAGAAAATCCTGCACCAAGAGCATTGCATTACAAAAGAAGAAGTGGTCCTCCTTCACAAAAGTGAGTTTTCTCTGTTAGAGGTTATCTATTCAAGGCTAATACAATAGTGTATTAATAAATTAGACCCTATTGAATTGTGAAATCTTTATTTCACATCTCATCTACTCAAGTTTCTAGTTATTAGTTTAGTTCAAATGTTCAAGCATTTAGATTTTTTTAATCGTAATATAACTCACTTCTCATTAACTATTCTTAAAAGTCACTAGATCTTGGGAATCACATAAAAACGTTGTAAAATTTTGAGAAAAATTTAAAAGCTTATAGGTCTTTGTTTTAAATAATGAAAAAAACGTCAGTAGGTATCTATGCTCTAAATATCAACATATAAAATGGGAAGAAAATTATATTTCAATGTGTAAGTGCCAATGCATGGGTCTGAATTTTAAAAATGAAAGATTGAATGAAATACTGGTGTTAACTTACAAAAATAAGGGTTAAAAGTTTTATCAAACTAAAGATAACTCCAATATGGTTGCAAATCCTGTAAGAAACTTTCGACAATGAAAGATGATTAAAATTCGAGTATTATTGATATGGTAGCTGATGCATTTAAGTTCTAGAGTTATTATAAGAACGTATGCAAAAATCCAAGTTAATTGTGATAGTACCCATTTATAAGGTCATCACCAAAAATCTGAGACTCAATAAAAAAGTCAAATTATTACCTGTTGTGCAGAGTAGAAGGGAGAAATATAAGAGTGGGATTATCTAAGATAGATAGTTGTCCACATGTATGGTGAATATTAGATTAAAAATAAAGCTTGCAAGAAATAAGCGGCATAGTTTGAAAAACAAGCTTCTTAGAAAATTATTGAGGATGAAGGGTTCAGGAAAAAAATGTTAGCTGCACAACTCATAAGACATTCTAGCCTAAGCAGAGTTATAGGCTCTCTTTCTAACTGTAGCTCGTTCTAGGCTCAACAAGCATTTGCAACCTACTTTGAAATTCTTATAAGTGATTTTGCTATAATTTCATTTTGATCAAGGCTGTTTTAATCAACACAACTGAAACCCGAACTTTAATCTCACATATCACTTTCATGTCATCCAAATTCTTAATAATTCTCTAAACACAAGATTCTTTGTTGGTTGCTTAAATTTGAGGATCAATCCATGTAGTATATGTATACCTACTATTCATGTTTAGCATAAGAAACAGAGCTCTGTAGAGTATTTACGTTCAGCAAGGTGGTACTCTGAGAGAAGGCCTATTTCATACTGCCTGTTGACCTCACCTCCTCCACACATTCAGGTTCCAACTATTTTGTCACACAAGATAGCTCTTTATCAATGTTAGTCCCGTGGCTAACTCCCATTATGTGGCCCCTACCCTTTCCGTTGTTCTCCATGTACTCATGGCATGTTGTCCACAAGGCCAGTGGCCTCTGTAAGACTAGGTCAGTCACCTCTCTAGCACCACCTTACCTCAAACTCAATTGAATGTTTTTGTTACTAATCTGTCATTACCGTAAATATTTTTACTTTAAAATTTTTATCGCAGCTTGGTAGGATCCTCATCCATGAACTAGCAATAAAAAACCAGTCGTAATCCACGCTCTTTCTACCTAGTGACCTCAGATCCCTTGACAAATAGTTGAGGATATTCTTCTTCTAGAAATGTGAAGGTGTGAATATTCTTTCACTACACTAATTACGGTAGAAGTCGGTCACGTAAAAGATGCGAAGAACCCGTATTATCGTCAATAGGCTATGCGTGTAAACGTAAAAAAATAAGGTTTTCCGTAGAGCTATTTTCGAGTGGAAACAGACAGTTCAGTCGGATAATGTTTGAATCAGTCACCGCAATGAAATATAATGTTGTTTTATTTTCGTGGAAACCGGGAAGAATTATTTAATGTTGCCCGGCACGAATCCTTTATTCTGCGGCGGTCGTCCTCCAGCGTAGGGTTCAAACGCCGCAGCCGTCACAGCCGTTGAAGAATATCGCTCAATGTTCTAGTCATTTAATTAAAAAAGCTATATCTCCCGAAAATGGATTCCTTTTACAATGTAGGTTTGTAAACACGAATTCTGTCGTCATCGTTCTATTAAACCATCATTTTTATTAAAGGGGAGAACTTTTCAAAAGAACGACCGATTCAGCGGGTAACATCAGCGGAAAACGACTCGTTAGTAAGATATGATGCGCTGCTCTATAAGTTTCAGAACCGTTGTTTTATTTGTCGTCCTCGGGTACTAGTCCATCTCCTCTTGAAGAAAATAGTGAGCTAGAGCCATGGGATCCTTCCACCAAAGCTGGCGGCAACTCCAACTCCTGTCTTCCCTCTTCCTGCTTCACTCGCTCACCGCCTACCCGGCTGTCTCCGGAATTTTCTACACTCTCTGCCCGAACCCCGGAACCTACACTGCAAATGGCACCTTCGAGGCCAACCTCAGTCAGAATGTAATAGCTCAATGTTCTAGTCATTTAATTAAAAAAACTGTATCTCCCGAAAATGGATTCCTTTTACAATGTAGGTTTGTAAACACGAATTCTGTCGTCATCGTTCTATTAAACCATCATTTTTATTAAAGGGGAGAACTTTTCAAAAGAACGACCGATTCAGCGGGTAACATCAGCGGAAAACGACTCGTTAGTAAGATATGATGCGCTGCTCTATAAGTTTCAGAACCGTTGTTTTATTTGTCGTCCTCGGGTACTAGTCCATCTCCTCTTGAAGAAAATAGTGAGCTAGAGCCATGGGATCCTTCCACCAAAGCTGGCGGCAACTCCTACTCCTGTCTTCCCTCTTCCTGCTTCACTCGCTCACCGCCTACCCGGCTGTCTCCGGAATTTTCTACACTCTCTGCCGGAACCCCGGAAACTACGCTGCCAATGGCACCTTCGAGGCCAACCTCAGTCATCTCCTCTCGTCCCTGTCCGCCTCTGCCCCGGTCACGGGCTTCGCCAACGACACGGTTGGCTTGGGCCCCGACCAGGTTTTCGGGCTCGCCCAGTGCAGGGGAGACCTCACCGAGGAGCAGTGCGGGGTATGTCTGGCCGCTGGCGTAGAAGAGGTCACGAGGTTATGCCCCTACAAAAAGGCCGCCGTCATGTGGAACGAGACCTGCCACCTGAGGTACTCCAACCAGAGGTTCTTCGGCAAGCTGAGGGGGGAGAAGCTGATAAGGTGGATCACTGGGAACGTGACGAGCGACCCCAATTTTGACCGCATCCTCCTGGGCCTACTCGACGGGCTAACGGCGCGCGCCGCCGTGTCCCCGCGCATGTTCGCAACCGGCAAGACGAAAGTGGACGTCTACGACCTATACGGGCTGGTTCAGTGCACGAGGGACCTCGCCCTCGATGACTGCGGTCAGTGTCTGAAAACGGCGATAGGCGATGTGCAGAGGTATTGTGAAGGAAAGCAGGGCGCGTGGGTTATCGAGGGGAGCTGCGACGTCAGGTACGGTGTTTTCCCATTCTTCAACGGCTCCGCCGGCGGCGGCCGCTGAACCCTATGCAGGAGGACGACCGTCGCAGAATAAAGGATCCGTCCTAGGTAACCTTAAATAATTCTTCCCGGTTTCCTTCAGATAAAACGACGTTTGACTTTATTATTGCGCGGACTGATTCAAACATTATCCGACTGAACTTTCTGTTCCCACCCTTAAAGAAATCTAGGTAAGCCTGATTTTCTACATGTACACGCATAAACTTTTGAGGATAATGAAACTTATTCTCATCTAATATTTTGACGACTCCGGGGTAGTTCCGATAGTGAAAGGATATTCGCACCTTTGTATTTCTAGGATAATAATATCCTCTTTTCATTTGTCTAGGGATCTGAAGTCACTTGGTAGGAAGAGTGTTGATTGTATTTGGTTTGTATATAGTGACTGCATGGATGAAGATCCTACCCAGCTTAATGCCTACTATTTGGGATAATTAGTAACATAATATATTTTAAACCAAAAGAGTTACGATAATGACTGGTTAGAAACAAAACATTTAATCAGGCTTTAGGTTTAAGTATAATTTCTTAGCTCGCCTGCGCAAAGCCGGACTAACGCTAGAAAGCCGACTGGCCACGAGGGCGGCGGGCCCACGATAGTGTCATGAATACGTGGAGAACGGGAGAAAGGGTAAGGGCCACGTTCTGGGGTTTGCCAATAAAGAGACACAGATGAAGGGATATCATGTGTAACCACCACTTTCAGGAATTTAGTATTTATGGAATTTAAACACTGGGGTCCTCGAACACTGCATTTAGAAGACTTTCTTGCGAGAATCCTTTTCGCCTTGTGGGCTGCTGCTACGTTGGTGCACGGGGGACGTGGGACGAAAGGGCTGAATGACATAGGCCCCTCTATAAGAGGACCAGCTCGTCGATACTGAATCCTCTGTCCGATTTGTTTTCATCCACAGTGAATATGAATCGTAGGTATACTTCATGTGCTGGTCGAGTTTAATGAACGAACAGAGAGAATGATGCGTTGACAAGACTATCTATGAATTTTGATAGCATGAAAACGATATGTGAGATTACGTTGCGACATTTACTCTCATGTAGATAGGACTACAGCTTGAGAGTGAACTGCACATATTTAGGGTTAAAATGGTAAAATGAGATTTGGTGCCGAGTGAAGGGGAACATTACTTTTGTCAGCACACTGCCTATTGCACTATGAGAGTGTCTTTGTATATTCCACCGTGTTTTGACTTTATTGTATGACGCTTTTGCCTCTAAAGGTGGACCCTATCCTTCATCTATAAACCAGCCGTGCTCACGATAAATCATAGCGAAAACCATTAAAGACCTTGAAGGAAGGTGATAAAAAGTTGTTGAGACTGGAAGGTGCTAGGGGTAGAGGGGAGCTTGCAACTCTTCTCGGGCTAGAACGTTTTAAAGGCTGGGAAGCTAAGAACTTTCTCCTGCACCATTTCAGTTTTTGGTGCAAGCTTTCATGACTCAATGCCAGATTTATGATATATGTTGACACTTTTGTATCCTACCTGTCAGCACTTGTGCTTTTTTCATTCTACTTTGCAGAATCGGCAACAAGTTTGGTATTGACCTTATCATTGAATGCTATCACAACTAACTCAGGTGTTGACACATGCTCTTCAAATAAGTGTGAGCACTTAAATGCATGCACTGCCACATAATAGCACTCTACGTTTATTCATCTGACAGTGTACAAAAAAAGGGTTGAACTCTCATTGAGATAGGTTTTAGTTTTATAAGGTTGTTGACCACTATCCCTCGTATGTTAATATTTGAATACTTGTTCAGTCTTTTGATGTGGTTGCGACCATTCAGCCTGATGTAGTGCATTACACCTTGAAAATTAAGTATTTCCCTTTTTACATGATTATATTTCATCCCATATTTCCACTCCATGGTGTTTGATTTCTCAGAAAACATTAAAGGTTTTAATTATTTCTAGAAAATTCACATTTCTATGTTATTTCCAACATCTGGTGGTGTTTAAGTGCTAACAATGAAAAGTACACAAAGTGAGGATTAGAAAAGGTAAATAGCTGTACATTTCTGCCAAATATGGAGATAATTGGGACTTTAGCGAGAAGACAATATGAAATAAAGATGTAACTAGTCAAGCTAATAAGGGTGATGAATACTCTACTGTGTTTAGCTTGAATAGATGCCCCCTAACAAGCAAAAGATCTCTTTTTCCAGGGAGGATCACCTCATCTCTAGCAGTGCAGCAGTCTTGGTGTAGTTTTTTCTTCATGTCTAAAGAAGTGCTGATTTGCTCATATGTGAGCATAATATACAAGTATATTTCCCACTTGATTTTCTGTGTCAACTTGATGCCATGAGCATCTGGTGTATTTCTCCTTTCAGTGTTTTTTTTACTCTCTAAAATGATCCAGGATACGTACTTGAATGTTAAATAAGGATCTTTATGTAAATGCAGCACAATCAGCTTTGTTATAGAACGTGCAACAAAATGAAATGTAGTCAATAACAAGAAGAGAAGAGATACCTAGACCAGATCATCAGTTTAACTAAAAAAATTTGATAGTTCTCATTCACATCATTGGAAGATTTGAATACACATTTATCATGGAAGGCCAATTTATTGGGAAATATTGATGGATTTTTTCTCTCCACACTGCCATCACTTAAGAGTTATGTAAAGTACACATGAATATCAGATGAAACGGTATAAACATGCTATATGACTGATAGGTCTTCATTATCATGAGTTAATAATTAGTAAATAATATAGTTTTAGCCTTAACTCATGATAAATAGACTTATATTTGTGTTAAAAGGTGAAAAGTGGTTTTCAATTGATTAACGTGAATTTTTGGGTAATTATGTGATTTTATACGATTTTTATAGTCTTACTTTTGAGATAAATAAAGAACAAGAAATAAAAACAAAAATATTGCAAATTGGGGGGACCCGCCGGCCAGCCGGGCCCCGCAAATGGGTTGGAAGCTCAGTCAGGGAGTAGCCGCGAGCAGGGGTTCGAGCGACTTGGACCGATAGGGGCACGTGTGTGCCACTCCCCTTCCACGTCACTGGTGGCTAGCCAACTATGGGGCAAGGAGTGGTCGTACACGTGAGAGAAGGGACTTTGCTTAGAAATCTAACATTACTATATATTCGCCCGAAAATTCGGCACACAACCGATGTGGGACTAAACCGCATCACACCATCCTCAAAAGAGGCGGGTGACCGACAGGGGTTCAAGTCCTACTAGAGTCAAAAGTCATATATTTCTATCTGATTATCGCGACTTTCTTACATATCGTCGGTGAAGGATTAAGCAACGAGAATCGCTAGATCATCGGCAAAAGTCTCGTCAACACGATTCACGGAGCATTGCTACTAAAATTGCTAAACAATTCGCGATAAAAGGATCACAAATCCATCGAGTAAATCATCTCTGATTGATCGACAAACAAGCCGTCGTTGGGAAGAGGACGATCTGTCGGGAGATGAGTCGCCACCTCCTGAGAACGTACCGGATACGATGAAGAGCCTCCTCTTGCTACGCGGACCTGAGGATGAAGCTCCTTGACACGCGCCCCACCTCCATCCAGCTCCTCTCCGTCAGGTGACAGCTGCCAGAGAGCCGTAAAGTCGTCATTTTTCTGCTTTGCCGGGTGACAGCCGTCAGAGACGATTCGACGACCCATTTCATTAATCTCTAGAGTTTGCGAGAAGATCTAGAGATTGCCCACGTCGTCTTTGTCCAAGGAGAGCCTTTGAGGCCGTGGACAGTGCACGACGATCCTCCTGAACGCTCAGGATTCTAGTGCATTGCCGACGCATCACCGTCGCGACGCCAGAACTTTGTTTTCCTACTTTCAACTTACTTTACGCTTCATTTAGTGATAGTTTTTGTGATTTTAATTTACTAAAATATACTTTGTTCTATTACGGTTCTTCCAGCTTTTACAAATCTTAATTTGATCAATTAAATTGTCTGTAATCACTTACGTAAGAATCACGGGGTGGAACTCTGTTTCTGCCCAATTCGTGTTTGCTGGGCACTGATGTCATCCTGACATCCACACCCTTATTTCCCTTTTTCGTGAATTTTAAATATAATTCCTTTTCATTTCCTAGTATTAAATTCATAGAAAATCGTATTCATTGAGAAAAATTCTGAATAATTACCAGATATTATATTACACCCCTCTGATCGACTTGAAAAATTACCACTATTTTTCAAAGTTTTATTGAATTATAATTGATATATTTATTTAAAAATACTTCTAAATATCCAAAAGTTCATATTTTCTAGTTTTATAAATTTTAGATTTGTGTGATTTAATATACAATGACTAAGTCACGTCAATGACCATAGAACATAGACCTAGTAAAGTCAAGTTTTGCCTTTGTTAAGGCTTCATTTGTCTTCATACGTTTAAGCTTAGAAAATATACAGTTCAATCAAAGGTTTTTTAAACATCTAGAAAGGGAAGACTATAAGAATAATGATTTTGATCATAACACAAATTCCATAAATAGATATGATAGAAAATTAAACAAGTTATATTGGAATAAACTGATAGCAATCAAGATATAAATATTTACATCTTGCCTTCAAAGCCTCAAATGAATAAATGAAATACACAAAGACATATGGACAATAAACTAGGTTAAAGCAAATCAGAAAAGAAAACTATACTCTTTACATGTGGCAAAATATTGAGAAGGATAATGCACTTTATGAAATATTGAGTAGGATA